ATGGGGAGGAAAAAGAAAACAATTCCATACGGATTAGAATTTGTGGGCTGGGTGCGGTGGCTCACACCTGTAATCCCAGCACTTTGGGAGGCCAAGGTGGGTAGATCACCTGAGGTTGGGAGTTCGAGACCAGCCTGACCAACATGGGGAAACCCTGTCTCTACTAAAAATATAAAATTAGCTGGGTGTGGTGGCACATGCCTGTAATCGTAGCTACTCGGGAGGCTGAGGTAGGAGAACCACTTGAATCTGGGAGGCAGAGGTTGCTGTAAGCCAAGATTGCACCATTGCACTCCAGCCTGGGCAACAAGAGCGAAACTCTGCCAAGAAAGACAGAAAGAAAGAAAGAAAGAAAGACAGAAAGACAGAAAGAAAGAAAGACAGAAAGAAAGAAAGACAGAAAGACAGAAAGACAGAAGGAAGGAAGGAAGGAAGGAAGGAAAGAAGGAAGGAAAGAAAGAAAGAAGGAAAGAAAGAAGGAAAGAAAGAAGGAAAGGAAGGAAGGAAGGAAGGAAGGAAGAAAGAAAGAAAGAAAGAAAGAAAGAAAGAACTTGTGATGGATTTGCAACTAATGACCTTGGGGAATGTACCATTCCTAGGAAGGACCCACAACTTCCACAAATCCTTCCATTCTACCACATATTTTAAAGAAGGCCCCAGTTACCACCGCCTCCCTGGGTCTAGGACCAGTTACCCTGATATATACTGGTTACACACAGGAACTGCTGGCACCCCTAAGGAAAGATGAGGGCATGCGTACGAGTGAAGACTCCGTATGCCATATGAGGTACGGGTATCTCAAAGGAACGACTCTGCTAGTATCTCTAATAAATTCCCACCCTGTGAGCTTTCTTTAATCAAGCTCTTGTACTGGAAAGGCCCGGCATGTCCACCCTGCTCAGAAACCCGTCCACCAGATAGGACAGCCCCAGGCCTGTGCTCTCTGAGCCTCAGCTGTCTGTAAATGCCTGGCAATATAGCACACCAACCGGATTCCCACGTGAGCCATCTGACCCAGGAGTCCTGGGACCTGGGACGAAGTGGGGCTGGCGGGCGAGCGTCAGGATCTGCACAAGGTTGGCACAGGGGAGTGTCAGGGCTTGCTCTGGTTGGAGCCCCTCGCTCAGGCCCCTCATGCAGTGGCTTGGGCACAAGGCAGGGGAGGGGAGGGAAGGAGAGGGGAAAGGTCAGTTGGTGTAATTTGTGGGGTTGAGATAGCAATACTTACTAAAATAGCACCAAGGGCTCAATCCTGGTGAATACATTCATGACCCCATAATTTTAAAGATGACTTTGAAGATACACGTGTGAAGAAAAGAGTTAATCTAGGTCAACACTCTGCAGTAGAAATATAATTAAAAATCAATACCTTAATCTCTTCTAAATTGAACGGCCACGATCTATTACATCCTTCACTTTTATCAGGCCTGGAAATTCAAATTTAAAAGAGAAAATAAGAAATATGAGTCTTGGTTGGGGTGGCTTCTACATGACCTTAGAAAACACTTTCATTAAAGTCTGCAAAGCATAAAAAGAGAAATTCTAATTGGGAATTCCTTATCCCATGCAGGACGCTTAAGAAAAACGACGCAGGTAAGAGTAGTCAGAGTTCAGATTTCTTTAGAAGAGAAAAGAAATTGTGTTAAGAGCATCCAGGAGTAATGTAAACAGGCTGCTGCTTAATAAAGGAAAAGCAATGGATGGCCTAGTAGCACCTAGGAGCGGGGGCTCTGGGGTCAGCCCTGACTGGGTTGATAGCAACCTCTGCTGTTCCCTAGCACCGGGACCTAAGTAAGCTGACCCCTGGCCAATCTCCATGCCACAGATCCAGCATGAGAACAGCGAGAGTCTGTTCCTTTCAATGGTGAGGAGGACTCCAGGAGATGACAAATGTAGCACGTCAGAAAGTACCTAGCGTATGACAGAAGATCAGCTAGCAGGATTTTCATTTCATTTTTAGTAGCAAACGCACTTACACTGTCTAGAACTTTAACTCCACCCTCACACATCTAATTCTGGACATATCAACTCTGATTCTTGAGTGCTGCTTACTCCACAAGGTCACCAACTTCCTAAGACCCCCACCCCTCAGAGCCCCAAAGAGGCCAGGGAGGAGAGTGTCTTCAGGGTCAACAGCTGGACCAGCATCTGAAACCCGCCTGATTCCATGCACCGGACTGGACGGCATTGCAAAGCTTCATTCCAGCCTCAGAAATGAAACGGCCATGATGAGCAGAGGCACAATCAGAGCAGTTGGCAACAGCAGGGGAGAGGACACCATGCAAAGTCTAGGAAAGCCAGGAGCCCCAGAGACAGGAAGTCAAGGTCATCTGAGCAGCCTGAGAAGAAAGTGAAACCCCAGTAGCTAAATTCCAATTTAACTTGTTTTCCACCAATCCCCCTTCCTAAGGAACCAGGAGGCACCAATAAAGCTAAAAGGGCCCTTTTCAATCTCAGCATCGAGGCAGCAGGACAAAACCGGTCCTTCAGATGGGGCGATTCATGCGCCCAGTTCAACGTCACAAGTATGTCCATGTTAAATAGAAGAGAATTAACTGAAGGCAGACAAAACCAGAAAAATAAATTTGAGTGTCTCCGAAATGTGTACAAGAGAGATACACACATTTATGTATTTTCATGCAGTTATTTATAATGAATCCCAAGAGAAGAACAAAATGAGAAAATTAAAATGTAGTGACCCTAACATGTACCGAGAATCTGTAAACACTATTTTAAAAAGTGTTACTGGCCGGGCACAGTGGCTCACACCTATAATCCCAGCACTTTGGGAGGCCAAGGCAGGCGGATCACCTGAGGTCAGGAGTTCAAGACCAGCCTGACAAACATGGTGAAATCCTGTCTCTACTAAAAAATACAAAAATTAGCTGGGTGTGGTGGGGCACACCTGTAATTCCAGCTACTTGTGAGGCTGGGGCAGGAGAATCACTTGAACCTGGGAGGCGGAGGTTGCAGTGAGCCGAGATCGTGCCACTGCACTCCAGCCTGGGCAACAGAGTAAGACTCCATCTCAAAAAAAAAAAAAAAAAAAAAGTGTTATTGTTATATGAAGACAGAATTAAAGAACAAGAGAATCAGTGTTCTGCTAGAAAGACTAAAGATATTTTTAAATAAGAATCTGGTCTATTGGATAAACTCCTAAAAATAAACAAGAATAAATACATTCAAGCTAGGGTTCCCAGTCAGAGAGCCTCTTCTGCCTAAGATTTAATTGTGTGAGACACTTGCCATAGTCCATGTATTGTCCAGTAATCCGGAGGGTCTCTACAGTCGTTATGAATTTTCTAGGGAGAAAATATAACAAGAAAATGATTGGTTCTTTATTAAAATACACTTAGAACCCTATTAAAATACATTTAGCAACTAGTTGCAACATATGCCAATGAGATACAGGTACTGTGCTAATAACACAAGCTAAAACCAGTGTTAGTTCATAATAAATTGCTTACAACAACACATCCATGAGGAAGCTACACTAGGGCTGGATGTTCTAAGCCAGTCCTCAAACAACTGACTTAATAGAAACAGCCATTTTTGTTAAGCCATTCCTCAAATATTTGACTTAACAGAAACAGGTGCTTTTATGAGCCGAGCACAGTGGTTCACGCCTGTAATCCCAACACTTTGTTTGGGAGGCCAAGG